TTCTTTTTCTTTTAATTTTTTCTTTTCATCTTTTTTTGCTAAATTTAATAAAGAATATTCACTTAATTCAATTAATTGTAGTCCAAAATTTCCATATGTTGATATTCCATCCATCCATCGTTTCATTGCTATTTCCCAACTTTTATAATCTTCTTTAAACTTTAAAATAAAAACGAAAATTATTTTAATTTTTTCTTTATCAAAAAGTGTTAAACAATAAAATAAAAGCTCCTGAATTCACAACAATCACCTATGGAGGTTAATCACTATTTAAATCAATAAAAAATGATTTAATTAATTAAAAATTTCAATTCAAATCTAGACAAATTTTAAAAATAAAATAGTAAGTCAATTATATGTAGAACCAAAATATGCCAATAAGTTTTTTAAAATTTATTATTTCCCTTATATGTAGATGTTGATAGTTAGTAGAGTTGATCAAGTTGGCCGATACCCGATCTCGGGTTAGTCGATACCAGTATCGTTTTGCTCAACTCTAATAGTTAGTAGTCGATTTGGTTAACTCCTTGATTTACCTTATTTGGACGCTTGGACCAAGGATAAAATAAGTCGTGCCTTATATTAGAGTGAAATACGAGATAAAGTAGGGGAGTGTAATGATTAAATTTTAATTAAAAATTATCTTTTAACCTTCATCTCAGATGCAAATTTTCTTTGTTCATTTATTATACTTTCAGAATTTATTTGTATCGGTTCTTTATTAATTTTATTATTATTTATATTTTCAATTTCAACAATTTCCTTTGTTCCAATAATTAAATAAAATTCATTTAAAAAATAAAATAATAAAATAAATATATTTATTAACATTTTTAGAATTTTTATTTAATAATTTAAAAATTTTCGAAAAAAATTATTGAGTTTATTTTCTCAGAATAAAAGTGCATTCACAAGCATATGTATGTAATTTATTAATCATTAATAAATTGACAGGAAATATTAAGAAATGTCTGGAAATAATTTATAAAATATTTCTTTTTAAAATTAAATTAATCAAAATTTAAATTTAAAAAAAAATAAATCAAAATTTAAATTTAATTTTCTATTCAAATTGGGACTTTTTGATTGATATTTAAAAATAATTATCGTATATGCTCGAATAATTACCCTAGGTAATTATTGTTTCGACCTTTCACTGGAGGGGGTAATCATTCGAGAGGGGTGCTAAATTTGGGGTATATCTCAATAAATCTAGAAGGGAATTGTTTTATTTTTTGTTAATATTTAATAAACTGTTAAAATTGACAACGATTTTTAGAAAATATTTAAAATTTGTGTAAGAAAATGAGTGGGTAATTATTAAAGAGGGTAATTATTTGAGAGAGGGTAATTATTCAAGCATATACCGTGGATGATCTGAGATTAAATGGCCGGCTCGAATATATTCAATTCTTACCAAGATAACCTTATCAAGTTTCCGATATCTATTTGTAATATTTGTTAAGAAAATATTAAACAAATCAAAGATTAATATTTGCAAAAAAAGTTACGAATCTTCTTTAAAAATATTTCAAGTTTCACACCCAAACTGGTTAATTTTGTTTAAAAATAAATTATTTTATGAAAAGAATATATGTATTTGTAATTCTCACTCTAATTATTGTAAAATTTCTTTAATTTATTACAATAATTATTAATATTTGATAAAAAAGAGAGGAATTGAGAATTCAAAAAGACAAATAAAAAGTGGATATGATTTTTATAAATAAACAAAAAAATTTCTCGACAATCCTTCCATGTCTAGACATTAGAAAAAAATAATATAAATTAGAAAAAAATTTTCTTAAAATTATTTTTATACGTACAAAAGAAAAATTTATGTATTGAGCTAAGAAATAAATCAAACAAAATTTTTTTGTTTAAAGTGTTTAGATCACCGAGACGGAAAACGTATATTTAATAAAAATTAATTATTTAATATTTTAAGAAAAAATCATTTAAAATAATTTTTGGGTTAATTTTTAAATTGAATAAATAAATTACTAATTAATTAAAAATGATCTCGAAATTAATGTTTTTAATTATTTTTGTTTATATTTTTTGTTTGTCAGAAGGTCAACAAACACCTGGGTATTAATAATTTATATTTTGATTTGTTAAAATTTTTTGAAGGCAAACAGAATTACCCAATTGTTTAAATAAAATTTCATCTTCTGTTTGTGATCCTAATGGAGTTCTTAATTCTACACAGTTACGCAAATTAAGGAAGGCTTTGGTAGAAGCTGAGCGACAAACTGTGCAGGTAATTACGTTTAAGAACTAAAGTACCCTATATCCTTTAATAACTACCCTGTGTAATTATTTTTCGAGGGACGGTAATTATACGAGGTTTGAAATTTGAACGTGTTTTAGGGTATTTGTTTGGGGGTAATTATTGTTTCAATCTATCGCTGGATGGGGTAATTAATGAAAGTGTTTGAGGGGGGGAGGCGGAGGCAATTAATACAGGTTATACGTAGGTTGAACAGTGGGAGTGTCTAAAAAGGAAAACGAACTCGAACTTATGACTCGGCTAACAGTTAATAACAAATATTAAATAATCTGAACCGAAAATATTTAAGGATGATATAAAAATAATTTTAAAAATTTCTACTTTAAATTAATATCATAGGAAGGATATTCCTACAATGCTTCTCAACGTTCAACTTGTGGGAGAAAAGGGATTAAAGTACCTGTTGTTTTGCTAAAATCAGGCAATGAAGTAGAAGCTGCAGTATGTATTTTTTGCTTATATTTCTTTTAAAACTAATTAGGAAACAGAAAATACACTTCTTGGTTCTATTATGCAATGGAGTTTAAATAATAATTGTGATAGAGTTGTAGTTCTTTTACAAAGTGTTTCTGATAAGGTAGAGGAGCGCCGTTTTTGGGCTGGCAGAAATTGGAATGTTAATTTAGAACCTAGTGAAGTTGTTGAACTTTATAAGAATGAAGTGAGCTTTAATTTAAATTAATATGTAAAGTTAAACCAGTTATAACTAGAGTTAATTATTCCGTTTAACTATTTACAGGTATGTTAAATTTCAAATACCAAAGAATCATACTTCACTTTAGCTTATTTGTAGATATGAATGATCCCTAATTTTCAGGGTTCTGATAAAAAACTTAATTAATAAGTACATAATTGAAAAAACTTCGAAATATAAGAACACATTCAAAAATACATTGAAGATTTATGCCTTTTTTAGTGCCGCAAAAATTTTGTAAATTTTGGAGCTCACTAGGCCAGATTTTCGAAATTTAGACAGAAATATCTCTTTCGATTAAATCTGAGTCTAAACTTCGGAGTTCGTATACACGAAAAGCTAATCATCATCACTACACCGAAAAAATTTAAAAATTTTTAAAAATTTTTTCCTAAAAATTTTAAGCATCCACTAATTCAAAAATCCGATTATGTTGAAGCACTTGTAAACATTATTAATGCAATTGCTAAAATAGTTTCTGAAAGAACTGGCCCAGCAAGAAATGTGAAAGCTACACTATTAAGTGATAAACCTCAAATTGCTTCGGGAGCAGAGAGTAATAATACACTTAATTAATTTGAATAATAAAATTTTGATAAATAAATTAAATGGAAATTATTTATTTTTTATGGACAATTTGTTAAATTTGGAATAAAAATTAATTAAATATTTTCTTAGTCATTATATATAGGGATACTAACGTACAGCCAACTTCATTTTACTTTTTATATTTTTAGTTCCAAAGCTAGTTCCAGGCATTTACTAGTTCAGTAGTTCTAGTTCCAAACTAGTTCCAGATAATCGTTAGTTCCGTAGTTCTAGGCTCTGGAACTAGAACTAATTAGTTCCGGAACTGGAAATGGAACTTCGACATCACTGCTAACGAACAGCCCATTTCATTTTACTGTTTATTGTCAAATATTATTTTGATCGGGCAGGTTCCATATTTCCCCAAGAAACAATTCTACAACTGATTAATAGGGCTCGGATTTATATTTAGATAAATCACTGAAGCGGCCCTGCCCGCGAACTGACCACTGTCTCTCCATTTTTTTATTACATCTATCACCGGTCATTTCTGTCTTTCTTCTATTAGAACTCAATAGTCAGACACCGGTCAGTCAAGGCTTGTTCATGACCAAGGTCGTTTTTGTGCCCTATTTAAATATAAATCCGAGCCCTACTGATTAATAACCAAATTCCACAATAAGACTTCAAAATATTCTTTAATTCAATTAATAACACAAAATTAACCATACATGTTATTTGGTTGGATTATATTTCCATTTTTAAATATATTTTTTATCGCGTTAATTTTTATGAATAAATGTTTTCTTGTTTCTCCATTAGCCCAAATCAAAAGCCAAGAAGGCAAAACAATTGTGCTTATATCAGATACAAGAAAGTTCTGATTGAAAACGGCCTAAATTAATTTTAGTTAATTATTAGTTGGGCATTATAATTTTACCAAGAAAAAATTCTGAGATTCATCATATGAAAGTAAAGTATTGAAATAAGTACCACTTATTGAAATCATAACTGAGATGTAGATTAGTGTCTAAAATTAGAATATAAAGATTTAATTGTGAATAAATATTCAATTAGTAAGTATCCTCGCTAAATCTGTGAGATGAATTCAATACATATGTAGGCATTCAATTAGGGCATTTTTAGTTGGTCAAGAATTCAGTTTTTTATTTTAAAGTTCGGACATGTTAGGTAATTCAATTACTATGTAGATTAGACGCTATCAAGACATACTAGTATAGAAAATTTTATTTACCGTCGAAATAGAAATGAGTAGCTGACCAACAAACGTCCAAAAAGCGTAAAGTGTCAGTCTCTTTTCGATAGTTTGTTGCAATCCGTTAGAGGTTACATTAGCCGTTTGAGGTATTACTCTAGTTTTGTAGACAAACAATGTTGCTATATTGATAATTAAACAGATAGACATGAAAATAACACAGGAATATGCTGCATATTCAGCGGGCTTGATATCCGGTGTTTTTACATCTATAGTATAGTTTGGTTGTCAGCCTGTAAGCGGGCATAAAAATCTTGAGAAAACATTTGTACTGCTAGGATTAATGGAGTACTAAAAATCAGCAGAATGCTAAGTGGTAGGAAACGCTTCCATAACTAAAACAAAATAAAAATAATTTTTAAAATTATTTTTTAACCTTTTCATAAGTAAATGGCCATAAAATAGAAGAAAGTCTATTAAATAATTGTAAAGTTGTAGCTATATTTTCACCATGTATACAATAAAGACCAAAGAAGAAAATTGTTGCTAACACCCACGAAGTTAATTGGAGGTATATATTTGTGAATAACCCAACCTTTCCAAAACGTTGTCCGAAGGAGATAATAAAGTTGAGAATATTCTAGAATTAATTAAATTTATTCAAGTGCCTGGGTAATTATTTCTCAGCCCATTTCTCGAGGGAGTTGAGGTATTTATTTTTAATTTAATTAGCCTACCAAAATTGCCCTTGCAATAAGTAACTGAAAAAAGCTCGAATTAAAATCCTTCCATTTTGTAATTATTATTACAACTTCAAATGAATATAAAATAGCAGATGGTACTCCAATAACTATCGAAATAACAAACGGCAAATATACCGTATTTGCCAAAAATACAATTGGTGCTGACAGGAAAAAGCCCATAGAGTGAAATATTATAAAATAATAAATTTATAAGAATTTTTAAGGAATTTTAAGGATTTTTAAGCAAATTTAGTAAAAAATTAAAAAATTATAATTTAAAATGGAAAAATAAATGCATTCAAATATGGTCTTGAAATAATGGTATAAAGCATCTGTTAAAGTTAGGATATGCCAAAATATTTTAAATTTAAATCAAAATCAGAATAATAGCCACCAGAAGCTAAAACGACAAAATTTTTATTTTATATAAACTTAATAAAATCAAAAATCATTAAATTTTCGATTTAATTTAAATTAATGATTTAATTTAAAATCAAAAAATCAAAAAAAAATATAGCTTATGACCTAAGCTTTCACTCATATTTTTAAATATTGTCTTTTACAAGTATAATTTAAACTTATTTAAATAAATAATTAAAATTATTTAAACATAATATTAATTGACAAAGTCTACACAATATTCTGTCCTTTAATGAATATTGAGGCTTTCGTGAATTTTCACAAGACTACAAAATTGAAATTTTTTTCATGATAAAGTTGTTTCAAATTAAAGTGTAAACAAAATAAAAATTATTATACATTTCTCACATTTTTAATAATTTAATTTTTTAAAATATTGTCTGAAATATTCGAGATTGAAATTGGAAAATATTGGGGAAATTTTTATTATTAATTATTTATTCAGTTAGAGATGTCATAAATTCATTTTCTTAGTTTGTTAATTTTGCAAGGATTTCGAGGAAATTCTTGACATTAACAGGATATCAGGATCATGGCTGATCAAAATTCCGTTTGTTGACAAATTTTTGTCACGCTCCATATAGGCGAACATGCTTAGTTCATTACCGTTTATTCCCAATATTACCATTTTCACTCACTTTTCATATCAGATTCTACAAAACCAAATTGTCAGTCGGGTATCCAGAACGATTATTTAGGTTAGGAACGATCATTCACCATATTATTCACCATATTCACTAAAATCATTTATGGAAAAAGTACTTCACTCATCCAGAGTTATATGTTAACCAAGCACAGTACAGGAGTTATTTGTACAATAATATAATTTGAATAAAATCTAATCGCCATGGATTTGAGGAGAAAATAAAACGGGGCCATACAAAGTTGGAAATTAAAAAGTTGTTTAGTAAAAATGTTTTTATTTTTATTTTTTTAATTAAAATTAAGAATTTAAATAAAAACTATTTATAGAAATAAATTTTTTAAACTGAAAAAATTTAAATAATTTGCACTTTTTCAACTTTTTAAAAAATTTCCGGGCCACCAGTTAACTTTTGTTTACAAAATTTAAAATTTTTTTTTATTTTTAGAATAAAGCAAACAATTTGTTGTCATGCCACTAATAATATTTTTTAATGTACTTTTAATTGTTTATTCAGATTATAAATAATTTACCCTATATAAGTAAGGCGGATTCTCTTTTTAAAATAAATCCGTTTTAATATTAACATATTTTTATTTTCTCTTACTTTATTTCAATTTCCGATTTCAACATTTTAATATTCGAGAGCAGATTTGTTAACAGAAAATTAAATTTGAACTAAAAAATTATTCCATTTCTTTATTAAGACTCATAGGTATAATGGAATCAGAGGTGGGTTGGAATAACGAGCGTGTCAAAATCCTAAATGGGTAAAAATCGTAATAAGCTCAATTGTCAGAATTTTGAAATCTTAAATTGAAAAAAATCCCATATCGAAAGAGGAACTCTTCGGAGCTGTTAGTTCCAATCCACCCTTATTTAAAATTTAAGCCACTCCATTTTGACATCGAACTGTGTGAATAAATTAATTTAGAAAAATAATTCTTATTTCAGATCCCCAGTATTAAATAAATTTTTAAATTACTCTAAATCCTCTATTTTATTTTCTCAAAAAATTTTAGTTTTAATAAAAATTAATATAAGTTTTTGTCTAAAGGAAGTTAAATGTCATAAAAATAAAAGTAAATAAAACGGAAACAATTTCAAATTTGTCTGGCCAAAAACCACGTTTAAGAAATTAATTTCAGTTAAATTAATTTCAGTTTTTTTTAAAGAAATATTTTTTAATTAAAAACTTACATTTATTTAATTTAACTTGTAATTCTTCTTTCCCTATTTAAAATTAAAACATTTTTAAATTTATTCTTTTCAAAGGAACATATTCAATACATTTATTAAACAAACAAATAAATAATTGAAGCTATTTCCTTTTATTTTTTTAGGAAAATATTTATTTTTTATTTATTTTAATATTTTTATGTAAAGCATATGATGCTTTAAATTAAATGTTTTACCACAAATTTTAGTCTTTCAGTTATTTTTACAAAAATCACAAAATAATTAAACAATTAGTTATTAAAAGAATATACCTATATATTTATTCTATTCTTAATCACATAGCCAATGTTTGGATGCTCGTACCAAAATTCGTACTCGTACCTGTGATAAAGTACAAGTACGAGTTTTTGTTTGTACCATATTCATACGACTATTAATTTTGTTAAGTACGTCCTAGCTAATAACTGTGACTACACAGTTTCCGTAATTATTTCGATTTTCAGAATCCGATATTTCAGTCAACACCACGCGCCTTCGACACTGTATCCAAAAGAAGGATAGGCCCATAAAAAATTTTTCATTGTTCTTGTTCCACGATAAATTTTCTATCATATAAGCTTTTTTTTTATCCCATTATCTTATAGTTGAATAAAGTTATGGCATAAAATGTGTGCCCCATATCTTTCTTGTCACCCTGTATTCAATTGACAAGTTTGTTCTAAAAAATTTTTAAATGAAAATATATATTCTTAGCTAAAAATTTTATACATTTAAGATTTTTAATAAGTTTACCTAGTATAATTTATTTTAATAATTTTTTAGTTATTCATGGATTTATTATTATATAATTCTATTTAATCTTTTCAATTATAAATTTTATTCTTTCTTATCTTTAAATTCTAATTTTGTTTCTTTCTTAATTTAAAATAAAATAAAATTGAAAATAATTTTTGTTATATTTAAACGTGGAAATAAATTGATTTAAACACATATAAAATTTTGTTTTTAAGACCACCTGATTGTTCCTCAATGTCCTAAAATGGAAATTTTATTAAAAATATTTGTCATCTTTTTTAGTAATTTAAAGAATTTTTAATTGTTTGGGAGCAGGGGTGGGCGCAAGAGGCAATCGTGAAAAACGCAAAACGCAAAACGCAACGCAAGGCCAAAAATCAACGCAAAACGCAAAAAACGCAAAACGCAAAACGCAAGAACGCAAAATTCTGAAAAAAAATTTTTAAATCGAGTATTAGCCATTTTTCAGTTAAAATAGAAGTATTACTATAAGTCAGCGAGTCCTAGTTGATCTTGTGATACAATTAAGTTGGATGGGTAATGATTTGAAGGGGATACAATGGGATTATGAAGGATATTAGAGGATTTAGAGCGATTATGAAGGAGAGATCGAGGAAAATTGGAGGGATCAAGGAAATTTAAAAAGATACCATGCGATTACTGATGAATGTCGGATGGGTTGGGGAGATAGGAGGATAAATGCCTCTCTGTAATTCTCAATTGATACCGCGGATATCAGCGGATTTGGAGGGATAAAGGGAGATCGGAGCTCAAGATATTGAACTGATATTTTTCTGACAGTTCCATGATCTACTTTTAGCGCCGCAGGCGAAAATTTTGAAAAATTTGGGGCCAAGAAGCCAAATTTCTTCCTTTTTTAAGCGCCGCAGGCGAAAATTTTGAGAATTTTGGAAAGTCATAAGTCCGATTTCCTTCAGATTTTGCCCTCAGATTGGGTATATTTCTTGCGATTTTTTGCGTTAATTTTGGCCAAATTTACGCAAAACGCAACGCAAGGCCAAAAATCAACGCAAAACGCAAAAAACGCAAAACGCAAAACGCAATGCGCCCACCCCTGTTTGGGAGGTTTAGGTACTTTGGGTAAATATATTTATTTATTTAGGATTTTGTCCACATTTAATATTTATTTTTATTGAAATTTAAATAATTTTTTCTTACGTAAATAAAAATATAAATTAATTTTTAAAAAATTAGTCAAAATTTTTGTTTAAAAAATCGTATTATTTCAAAAACAAATATAATTATTTCAAAAATTTATTAAAATAACTTCCATTTATTTTACTTTTTGATCCGTGTTATTTTTATTTCTTACAATTTATTTTTTTAACTTAAATTAATTAAATTAATTTTATTTTTATTTAAAAATTTAGATTAATATTTAACTTAAAAATGATTTTTATTGTTTTGTGTTTTATATTTGCTTGTTTGATTCCAGGTAAAATTTTAAGAAAAATATTACGAAAACTAAGTTATAATAAATTATTAGGACTTTTTTGTTTTTTTTCGTTAATTCATATAAAAACTTTTACCTAATAATTAATTTAAATTTTTAATTTTAAAGATATCAATACTGGAAAAATAACAAGTTGTCCTACAACAATAACCTCGGCACTTAAAGGTTTTTAAAAAAAAATTTGGATTTTTATTGTGTAGAAATATTAAAATATACACTTAAAATTGTTAAAACAAAATCATTTTCCACAGACAAAATAAATTTTTTTTTAAATATTTTTATAAATATACTTTTCATTTGGAAAATTTTTTGAAATATTTTGCAAAATTTCTAAGATAAAAAAGCCAAAAAATAATCCTAGTTAAAGCTGCTACACCAAAATGTTTTTTGCATATTATTCTAAACTTGAATAAAAAAAGAATAATTTTAAATAAAAATCCTTTCTTTTAAATAATTAAATTAAAAAATAAAAATTTATTAAATTTAAGTAAAGAATGTTGTTTACTTATTTGAATATCAAAATGTATGGAAACATGATGGAAAAAGAATATATGCTGGACCATTGAAACTAAATGACGTAAGAAAAAAAATTTTTTTTTAAATTATTATTTTTTAAATAAAAATAAGCTAAAAAATTTTAGAAAAAATTTTAAAAAATTTAAAAAAAATTCGAAAATTTATAACTTTAATAAATAAATTAATGAATTAGGAACACTTTTTGCTAAATAACTACATATTTTTATTTAATTTAATCGAATTAAAATTTTTACCACTTTAGAAACTTCTAAAATTTCCGGATATTTGAAATTGTAACTAACAAAAAGTAGTGATCGGACCGAGACTATAGAGAGATATAACTATAGACTATAACCGAGACTATAATATCTCGATAGAAAATCGCGGTTATCGAGATCGAGAATTTTTCGAAATCTTGATTCTCGTACGATATTTCCAGTCCGGTCTCTAACAGAAAGTAATATTTCTAGTAAATAATAGATGAGTTTATTAAATAAGTGAGTATACGAGGCTAATCCTATCCAACAAATACGAGAATCTCTCGATATCCCTATTAATTCCTGATATCACTATTGCATATGGTATATTGGAGGATATGTTGGATAGATCAAGGTGGATTTGGAGGGATATTGGGTAGTGACTCAGTGAGTATATGTATAAACGAGATTTAATTTAGAAATTTAAACAAAATTTTATTTTTCAGTTATTTCCAAATGTCCCAGGAGTCAATACTTCATGTACCTCATCAAAAGACGTAATTTATCTTTTTTATATGAAAAAAGTTTATGCTTATGTTTGTGAACACACAACGGGGAAATTCAAGTAATTTTCAAATATTTACTAAATTTAAATTAATTTAAAGTTTACTTGATAAACATCCAATAGAATTACAACCAATGATTATTCCCTTCCCTATTAAATGTTTTCCGTTAAATAATGGAAGTTTAATGATTGGAAGTGTAAGTATTTATATATTTAATAAAAAGGGTTTAAAAATTTCGTTTGTTTCCGAATAATTTTGGAAATAAATTTCAAAGTTATACATAATGTTCGGAACGTTCTTCGTTCGGAATCGAAACGAGGAACTAAGAAATTTTTGAGTAAGTTAGACGGTTAGGCCCGGATATCTTAAAAATTTTCTAGAACAGACAACCCTATTAATCCTTAAAGTTAATCCCTATAAATATTAGAAAATCAACTTCCATTTTCGAAAATTCTTAGAACAAGCGCTTACTGTAAATAATTAATTGTCCTTATTATCTATTCGTATTAATTCTGAACAGAAAATTTTTACGAATTTTAGTGCAATTTTTGACTAATCAAAATCTAAGTATAGTCCAACAGAAAAGAATAAAATTTAAAAAAAATCAAACAAATTTTAAATTGTTCAATAAAAAATTAAAACAAATTCTTTTTTAAAACTTTTAGAAATAAATTGAATTAAAAAGAATTTTGAAATTAAAAAATTAAATTTAGGGGACTGCATCTTACACTTACTATCCGGAAGTAAATGTTCCACATATGGTAATTTTTATTTAAAAACAAATAATAAAATTAATTTAAAAATAGTCCGGCGACTTTTACGAGCAATTCTCCGGATTGCCCGCAGAATTTATTTCTGGATTTCCAATTGACAATAATTATAATAATTATTTATTTTTGGATAAATTAAATGGTAAGAAAATTAAATAAAAAAAATTTTTTTTAATTTAATTTTTAGCAAGTAAATATTCCTTTAATGATTTTAAATCGGAAGCAACAGATTTAAAGAATTATTTAAATTGTAAAGTTAATTAATAGTTAATGAGGAAAATAAAGAAATACAGAGATAAACTGGAAATTATTTTAAATATACTAAAGTTAAAAATCCATTTATAATATAAATTTAAATAATTGGAAATATATTTATAAATAGGGATCGGATTTATATTGAAATAAAATCGCAAAATATGGCCATAAAATATTGAAATAAAGTGACAAAATATTGACAAAAAATGGGAAAAATTAGCTAAATATTGAAATAAATTATTGTATATTCACTAGCAAAACCCTAAAAAAAGATGAAATTTAACAAAAAAAATAATCACGTTTTTAAAATTGACTTTATAGCTCGACGAATCGAGTATTTTTACTTTCTTGAACATTTTGTACTTGACAAAATGTGGATGGGACATTTTGTGGATTTTGCTCGATGTGCCATTTTGTGTTTTGCCCAGTGGGACATTTTGAGGGCGGAACATTCTGGAATGGGCCTTTATGGGGACTTTTGTTCATTTACAAATTTTGAGGTTTTTGTTAATTGAGGAATTGTGGAGGCGCCTTTTCATAAGGACTGAGCGCCATTTAGGGAATAATTAATGAAAGGCAACAGCACTGTAGAGAATAATAGGCCATAATATGTCCTTTTCAGCGCCGCAGGCGAAAATTTTGAGAATTTTGGTTGACAAATGACTAGATTTCTTAACTTTTTTCCTAAAATTTATGAAAAATCCCAAAATTTTAGTAAAATTATCCGAAAATATTGAAATAAGTTGAAAAAAGTGCCAAATATTGAGATAACTGAAGAATTGGCAAAATATTGAAATATATTGAAATGTATCTTTGTTCAAAATAATATTCAAAAACTAATAGCATATTTGGGCTTTTCTCGACATAATATATTCAGGAAAAAAAAATATATTTTAATACAAATCCGATCCCTATTTATAAATACATATGTAGCTTATTTAAAAATTATTTTTTTATTAAAATTAAAAATAAAGGAAAATATGTATATAAATTAATAATAGGGTACTAAGGAGTTGGAGAAATGTCTTCAGTCATTTCCTAGCTTTAGGATTCTTATTTCTGTTCTTTTTAAATATTATTTTTAATGTTTATACCGGATTAAGAATAGGAAGATTCAACTTTAAATATTATAAATGGATTTGACAGTATCTATTCCCAATAAAAATATCTAATCATACCCAATACCGCATAAATTTATTGTATTAATCACATTTCTAATAGTAATACATTTGATAAAAATTTGAAATGAAAAAGAAATTCTCAAACCTATCGAAAACCCTTGGTGAACACCTTGGACCTTTTTCTATTTTTTTGTTTAATTTTTTCTTTTGTATTAGGTTTTTTGTGATTTTGTGTTTTATTTTTTTGCGTGTTCGCCCAACCGATACTTACTGATTGGAATAGGATTTCCTTAGCAAATTCCACTAAATCGAACAAAACATTTTGGCCAAACAGGCAGTATACTTATAAGGAATAGGGTCAAGTACTCACCCAGATAAACTGGCCGTTGATCTGGAACCCAGAAACAGTACTTTGAGGGTTGGATGGATTATGAAATGATTTCGAAAACACGATAATTTTGTTAAAGGGTTTGTTATGTTATATCATTTAGGAAGATTGCGTTGACGTCTTCATCGTCCACAGATTTTTTGGCATTGTTTTTATGTGTAAATCTGTCTAAATATTATCTGATTTTACACTAATATCTGTTCTATTTTATGTTTCAACTTTATTTTCTAATTTTTAATTTGTTGTTGAACGGCTTGAAGTTAATTAAAAATTTATTTAATTTCTCCAGAATGTGCTATTTTACAAAATACTCAAAAAAAAGTTGAAAATTTACTCATAAAATTAAAATAAATTTTTTGTCTAACTTAAAGAAATGCAAAAAATTTAAGGTTGTAGTTTAGTATACCGGAGTCTTAGTTTCGACACATAGCCCATACCATTCGATTCGTTTCGGCGAGCTGAGTCGAACGGTACCACTTTTTTGCCGGAGATGCCTGTGTACCGAGATATCCACATGCTTCTCCGGCAAAAAAGAGTAGTACCGTTCGACTCAGCTCGCCGAGACGAATCGGATGGTATGGGCCTTGTGTCGAAACTAAGACTCCGGTATACTAAACTATATCCAAATTTAAATCAAAAAATATTAAATAAAAAATGTTATATAAAAGATGAAAAAGTAAAGGTTATATGTATATTGTTTGTAAATCTACAATTTAAAATATCGATATAAAGAATGTCGCAGACCCGAGGGCCTGCGACGTAAGTTTGGCAAGATGCCGCCAAAGATGAGTAGACGTTGGATCCAGGAAATTGGCCATTTGGTTTTGCCGGGCTTTCTCGTGCCTATGAGCCGGGGAGAACCCCTAAACTCGGGAATTTAGTCGTTGAGGCTACCTAAAATTAAATAATTGGGCGGGAAGACTCGTTATAATAATAGAAGTGCTTAATAATTAATTACTAATTTTAATTCAAGAATAATTACTAATTAAGAAATAATAATTTATTTAAATTAAAGAAATACAAATAATTAAAAGCATAAAATAAAAATATAAATTTATTTACAAAGGAAGGGGACAAGAAAAAGGGAAGGGGAGAAAGGGGAAAATAGATATTCTTTTATTCCCTCTACATCCCAGAACTGAGCAGTTAAACTGAGCAGCTAAACTGAGCAGCTAAACAGCATATTTGTGGAGAGTCTTCTTTTCTTTAAATAGACCAGGCCAGCGCATGCAGAGTAGTCGCGGCTGTGTGCATTCCCACCATTGAACAAAGGTCGCTTCTCAGAGAGTGAGCGACATAGCCAGTTGATCAGAAGAGCCAGTTGATCAACAATAGAATTAAAGTCGTTAACTCTGAGAGTTTCGACATAGCGGAAGTTAATCCATTACTAGAAAGGAGAACAGTCATCAGCTCTGAGAGATGTGACTCGACCATAAACTTTCTGTAAATATGTTTGCTTGGGAAAGTCAATCGCTCTAAGAGAGACTGACAATATTTATTGTAGTCTAGCGGGAGTATTTCACAACAAAATATCCTTTTCTGAAGGTGCGGGACCGGGTATAGTGTATCAAATATACAGGAAAAAACAATTCCCATGAGCCTCGATAACAATCGGAGAAAGGAAATATTATTTCCCAATAAAGCAATTGCTTTACATTGTCGGGTCTCCGACACACTCCCCCCTTTCGAGAAGTTGCCAATTTCATATTGTACCGTTGTATTGAAATTCCGTCGTAGATTAATTTAAGAGACTTTGTCCCTGAAACTTGTCGAAGAGGATCAGCAGAAGCTAAACCTCAAAATAAATTTAACTTCGAAAATTTCCTTTTATTTATTTCAATTTGAAATTATTTTTTGTTGGTTTTGTCAACCACATGAAGTTTCCCCAAATGTCCGAGAACATAGTTAAACGGACAAATTTCCAATTTCTAGTATATCCTTTGAAGGGAATGTTGTTTGATTGACCATGTTGTCTATCCATTTATGGATGCTGCAGAAGACCAAGCAAAGATTCACTTCTATCTTCTCCCACCTTTCGAGAAGTCGAAAAATATAAGAATATTTTTATATTGGGCTTCTATTGATTTAAAAACAAATACTTTACTAGTTTTATTTATTCTCGTCGATGTTGCAGATAAAAAGTTTCAAGTCAATCCATTTGCTCAACTGTTCGATAAGCGGAGCTTCCGAACTTCAATTAACTATATTTTGCAAATATGCAAACCATAAATTGTTTAAAACAAGTGAGTCACTTGACGAGCACAATTTGTCCAAATTTATTAGCTGTAAATTCCGGTGAATCTATTTTTGATTTGTCCACCCATTTGAATGTATATACTATGAAGTTCAAAAGTCACGACTATTGATTAGCACAATCACGAGTTTTGTCTATTACAATTGTTCTTTCTGAATCCAGTAAGCGTAGCTTCCGGACATGTTTGGGTCATTCATCTTATCTGCACAGAGTGAGTTGTGAAGACGTATAACATAGATGTTCCATTCTTTTCCGTTGCTGAATCTTTTTGTCAACCAGGTGAACTCTATTGACTAAAATTTTGAATATTATTGTTACGTTAGTCTGTCCGAACCAATAAATGTGATGAAGTACAATTTTGATTCCCTGGTTCAGTTGTGGTGGCTATTTTGTTCGCACAGAGAACTGTGGGAACGATTAGTTTCATTGCCAAGTTGTCCATGTAGCTCACTTTGTTTGATCATT